AGAGGCCTACAGGAAGGTTCAGAGAAGGCTCAGAGAAGGTTCAGGGAAGGTTCTCGCCCGGCGCGGGGAAGAGGCCGTCAGACTCCGCCAGCTCCTCTGCAGGGGCCGCCTGCAGACGCGGCGTGGGCGTGTCGCGGGCGTGTCAGCGGGCGGATGTCACGTGCCGAGGGCGGCGGCGGTGCACGTAGAGTGGCGGTGGCGGTGGCGGGTGGCGGTGGCGGTGGCGGTGGCGGTCTCGGAAGTGTCTCGGAACTGTCTGCTGCCTCGTCCTCGTCAGGGGGCGTCCAACGCGACTCGCCCGTCACGTAGTTGAACCAGTACGTGTGCCCGTCGGGCGTCTGGTCCGTCCCCCACTCGCCCGCCTCGTCGGTCGCACCAACCTGCTCCTCCCCCTCCCCCCTCTCGCCTTCGCCGGCAGGGGACAGGCCAGGCTGGTGGCCGGGCTGGCCAAGGCCGGGCTGGCCAAGCCCTGAGTAGTCGGACGGCCAGCCTGAGCCGGAGGAGACGTCTGCGCCGGGCTCCTGTCCCTCGAAGAGAGAGGACACGCCCAGCGGGGACTCCTTGGCAGCCTCCGCCGCCGCAGCCTCCGCCGCCGCAGCCTCCGCCGCCGCAGCCTCGGCAGCAGCCGCCTCAGCAGCAGCCGCCTCGGCAGCAGCCGCCTCGGCAGCAGCCGCCTCGGCAGCAGCCGCCTCGGCCGCCGCCGCTTCGGCCTGGCGTGCAGCCTCCGCCTCTGCAGCGGCAGCTGCCGCCGCCTCCTCGGCTTCCCGCCGCGCCTCCTCCTCCGCGGCCGCTGCAGCCGCCCGGCGGGCCGCCTCCGCCTCCGCCTCGGCAGCAGCAGCAGCAGCGGCGGCGGCGGCGGCGGCGGCCGCGGCGGCCGCCGCGGCTGCGGCGGAGGAGGCGGCGGCGGCCGCCGCGGCGGCGGCGGCCGCCGGGGCCGCCGCCGCGGCGGCAGCCGCCGTGGCCGCGGCGGCGGCGGCAGCGGCGGGGGCGGTGGTGGCGGCGGAGGCTGCGGCGGGGGTTGCAGCGGAGGCGGTGGTGGCGGCGGAGGTGGCCGCGGCGGCGGCGAAGAAGGCGGTGCCTCCGCTGCAGGCGTCCAACGGGGGGAAGGAGCCGGCGGGGGCGGGGGGCGGCGGGCCGCGGCCGCTGGGCGGCCCCCCGGATGCGGCCGAGGCCGCAAACAGCTCGGAGGCCGCAAAGGGAGCAGCCGCCTCGCCCCCAAACAGGGAATTTGGCTGCGGCGGAGGCGCCGCCCCTGGAAGGGCCGCAGCGACGCCGGGCCGATGGGGAAAGGGAGCGGCAGCGGTGGCTGCGGGCGGCGCCTTTGGTAGCCCGCCCGCCATCGGAGCAGGCGACGGCCTGCGCGGCGGCTGCATCCGCGGCGCCACAGCCTGCTGCGGTGGCCGGCGGAGCGCCGTGCCGGCTTGCGGTACCGCGGGCTGCGGCCGGAAGGGCGGCGACGGCGCACCCCGCTGCACCAGGGAAGGTGGTGGGGCGCGCATCGGCGCGGCACCCGGGCGTGCGGGTGGAGCGTATGGGCGCGGTGCGCTGGCTCGCATCGGCTGCGCCGCCATCCCGTACGGCTGCGGAGCTGGCCGTGGTGCCGCCGCCGCTGGTCGTGCAGGTGGAGCGGCGGCGAAGTCCATCTCCCGCCGCCACTGCTGTCGAGAAGGATCCGAAGGCCGCCTGCGTCAGCGCCGGGCGAGAGCTTGCACAAGGGATACTTCGCGAACAAAAGAATTTTTCGCTCCCCGCACCCTTTCGCCCCATGCAGCCGGCTGCTTGCTGGTGGCACTAGGGCCGCTGAGGCCCGCAAGATTTTTTATTAACTGAACTCGGGGGCACAGGACGCGGCACAAACGGGGTACACCAAAAGATTTTTTTGTTAAAGTTATTGCGGGGGGCCGCCGGTCGTGACACGGTCGAGGTCAATGCAATGCGACGAAAGCTGCTCCTGGTGGGCCTGGACTGGGTGAGGCGCAAAGACCCACCGGTAAGCCTCGCCACCGCAAGTATTGCTGCGGCCTGAGGGAGGGTGTAGAGGATGTAGAGTGTAGAGCGCTGTAGAGCTGTAGAGATGTATAGAGCGCTCTGGAGCGCTGTAGAGCTGTAGAGCTCTACATCCGCCGCGGGACGAAGCGCCTCCGTTGTAGAGCGATGTAGAGCGCGATTTTGCTGTAGAGTTTGTTGTAGAGGCTCTACAGCCAAACCGCCGGGAAGGCAGTGACTCAAAGAGGTCGAGCCGCGCTAATGGGGTGTCTCCGAGCTTAGTGGAGCTCTGATGGACAGCCCTGACTATCCCCGACACACAGAGAGTGACTCCGACGGCACACAACACCCTATGACTGCGTCATGACCAGCCTGCCATGTGTCGCCGGTGCCGCATTCGTCGCTGTGCTTCTTTAGCAGGCGGTGGACTGTCGGCTGCGAGGACGGTCGCATTTTGCGCGAGCGAGGCGAGCATTCAGACGCGTTGCATGCGCCATGCCTCGCGCCAGCGCGTGCGGGAGCTCCTGGCTGAGCGTTGAGTCCAAGCGAGTTGCGCTGGCCACTATCGCTACGCCGAGCCGAGCTGACGCGCCGAGGCGCCGGCCAGTCGCAGCCGTGAGGCATGCCACAGCAGCAGAGGCACCTGCCACCCATTGGGCGGGCAGACAGAAGGCCAGGGCAGCACTGGCAAGTGCAACGCCCCTTTGAGGGAGGCCGTTGCAGCTCGGCGCATAATTATGTCAATAATGAAAAACGGACACGCCAACCTAGTTTATACTAAAATTTCGTCAGCCTTGCCGCACGCAAACAAGCATGTGTATCGCGCTCCTTGCGGGGGGGGGGGCGCGGAAAAGAGGAACCTCTTTGCATGGGGGGGGGGGGGGGGGTATTGAGCTCGGCCGAGGCCTGTCCGAAGCCGCAGCCGCTCGAGTCGGTCGCCTGGAGCACCCTGGGAGGCGCCCGTCGAAGCCAAAGCTGTGCTGGGGACACGGCCGGATCAGCCTCGTACACCTACGATAGCCTGCCTGACGATGACTGCGATGGCCTGCCACCTGACGACTCGCTGTCACTGGAGGAAGAGGCAACCGATGCGGGCGATGCGCCCGTCATGGGGTTGCTCGTTGCTCCTGCCTGCTTTGCGCTCGGTGCGGCGCTGTACATCACGAATGGTGCTTTCCTTGTCGCTCAGACGGCCCTTCTTCTGCTGACGTCCCTGCTGCCCCTTTTGGCTCGAAGCAATCAATTTGGGAAGATCATCAGCGGAGACGCCGTCGCGAGGCTCTGTGGATGCGTGATCTCCCTTGGCCCAATCTTCCAGGCCGTATACTGCGCACAGTGCGCCACTCCGCTGATCAGCGCAACGGAGTATGCGGCTTACGTCGGCAGCACCCAGGCGAGGCTGGGCCGGGCAGCCTTTGGGGTCATGCTCATGTGGATGCCGCGGCCTCTCGACTGGAAGTGTAGCCGCGCGGTGGAGCATTGTGCGGGCGTGTGCCTAGTGGAGTTTGTGCGCGCGAGCCGCTCCTGGGCGACCGACAATCCCTCTGCCTATGGCGCACACCTTGCTCTCGACCGGGCCGGTGCCTACCTGCTCGGGATGGCGGCGGGCGAGCTGATCATGCAGGGCCATGTGCCCGCGCAGCGCTTGGCGTCGGCAGTCCGTCAGTTGGCTGCGAGCCGGCGGCGCGTGAGGCAACCCCGCCCCCCCTCCTCCCCTCCCCCTCCCCATCCCCATCCGCGTTCGCATACATGAGTGCCGAGGGACGTGCCTGACCCCACCTCCACCTCGCTCTCTAGGCAACTGCTCTGCGAAAAAGAGCGAATGGACTGGGAGTTGCGGCTGCGGACTCGAGGCCTCGGAGCTCCAGCCGCTGAAGCGCTGCCGCCGCTTCTGCCGAGCGTGCACCCCAGCAGCAGCCATCAGCCGACCCCAGAAGCACGCGACCCCGGCAGCAGCAGCCACGACTCTCGCAGCGAGCCCTCCGCCGCCACCGTCCCGCACGCAGAGCCTGCCATTTCCGTTGCGCATTTCCATCCCATCGTGCCTAGCTCCTCTGGCGGCAGCGAGAGCGAGTACTTCAGCGACAAGGTTTCGTGTGCCATGTCAGCGTGGTCCTCGGAATCAGGAGAGACCCATAGGCAAGGCGCAGGTTACGTTGGCGGGCCTTGAGTCGGCTGAATGCAGGGTCAAGGTGGAGTGACTTGAGCCCCACCGCCCGTGTGTGCCCCTAGATTGGCTATTGCACACCGAAGCATGCAGCGCACGCGTCACGGTCCACTCGCCTCTGCGAGAGTTGCGCATCTGAGATCTGTGCGTGTCTATTGGTATTGCGGGGGGGCTGTACGCTGTACTCTTCTAACGACTACGTACTAGTGGACGTGCGATCCGTCAAAATATCTGAAGATCTGTCCTGGGGAGCATTCTCCCCAAACCTTGCTCAGCTGATCCAGCACGGGTCGTAGGCCAGGCCTGGGCAAAGGCTAGTTCCATTTCACTCTGACACGCTAATCTTGAAAACGTCGAACGGAGCTCCGTGTTGCTCCCAGCGCCCTCCCCCGCGCTTCCTGCGGCCATGGCCGATGATACTAGTATGAGAGGTCATCTGGCTACCGCGAGCGCGACTCAACTCGCCGACGTCGTCCGATGATTGTGCCTCAAAGTCAGCCTCCGGAGGCTATCGTGGGGTCGAGCCGGCAGTAGCCGTGACATGTGGTTCCACCACCCCTCGTATGCTTTGCCTCTGACCGCCACCGTTCCCAGGCTGCCAAATGGGATGGAAAGGAAGGCTCGGCGAGCGTATAGAAGCGTGCTCGACCTCGTCGTGGCAACCTGCACGGCAGCGCTGGTAGGCGCGATGAGCGTCGTGCCACCTGACCCGAGACGGGTCGCAGGCGTCGTACCGAGCGCGTCGAGACCGTGTCCTGATGTGATCTGCACGGGTGAGTCACGTCGGCGTCAAAGGAGCGACGTGCGACCTGTCAGAGCTTGATCTCCGATCTCAGCGGCGTCGAGTCGTCTCCGGCGCGCGACAAAGGTACATCCCCAGGACGCGCAGAGGCAGCTGCGATCCAGCGGAGTGGACGGTAACGCACCGCGCCACCTGCTGTGCGTTACCGTCCACTCGGCGGGGTCGCAGCTGCCTCTGGAAGGCACCCAGATGTACCTTTGTCGCGCAAATGGTCAAATCAAGGTTTTGTAACGCGAGCTGTGCCACAGTGAAATGGAACTAGCCAAAGAAACCAGTACCTCATCAGGCTTCCCTGAGCGTCACAGCTCGGTGATCGCGCCGGCCGGACACCACTGTACGGGGTGTGGACCGTGAGTTGACCAGGGGTTGATGTGCGCCGGGCCCTCCTGCTTGGCTCCAGCCAGTAGACAAGTCTTGTCACTAACAGAGTAGAAGGATCTGACCTCGGGGCCGATGTGACCAAGCGCTGGTAGCGTGGTTTTACCTCACACCCATGGTCTCACAGTGTGCCGGCAGTCGCCGAGCAGTGTTAAGCCGTTTAAGCCGCAGGCGCCCCAGGGCCCACCCTTTTAAGCCTAGGGGTACCCTAAGCCATCTCTGCTGTGAATAGAGGGAGAGTGCTGCAGCGTTGGAACCGTAGCTCGGCGCCTCGCCCTCAGCAGAGCGGGCGAGAAACGCTGAAGCTGTTCGCGCCACATACCCCCCCGCCTGTGGCAGACCTGCTTGGGGGTATGGTAGGGCCGCTAGTCTTGGGCGGTCAGGACCATACCCCCACCCCTTTGGGCCGCCGATGCTACCATACCATATCTAGATACCCCGGAAAAAGTTGGAACCCTGGCCGCTCTGGCGGGCTCCGAGGTATTTTAGTGCGCCTGGTGGCGAAATAGAATTTGAAGATTGCGCGAAAAAAGAACAAACAAAAACAAGAACCGAAAAGAACAAGGAAAAGAAATCGTGGGGCAAAGAATTTTCGCGCGGAGCCCTCTGCCTCTCTTCGAGAAAGAAGTTCCCCGCTGTCGAATGGCCCAGCCCCGGGCCGCTGCACACCAGGGTCCGGCGAGACGCACGCAGCAGTTGCAGCAGCGTGTCGAGCTTGCACGCACGCGCGCCCGGGTGGTCGCACCACTCGCTCGCCGTCAGCCAGCTCGAGATGGGTCGAGTACGTGGCGGCGACGAGGTCGCTGTCGACGCAGATGCGCTGCCGCCGCCTCCGGCACGCGGGATTGTGCTGCCGCCGGCACTGTCGGCCATTCGTAGCGGGAGCTTGCGCTTCGAGTGCCAAGTGCGCGCCGGCTGCATGGCAGGGCCTTCGTAGGCGCGGCCGTGCATGAAGAGCGGGTGCTCCGCCGAGTCGAGGCACGGAACGCGCCGCAGCGTTGCCAGCGTTGCCTCGCGAAACGTTGCGCATGGAGCGCCGCCCGGCGGGGCAGCGGCCACTGCCGGCGCCTCTCCACTGGCAGCACAACCGTTTGCCGCCGCCGCCGCCGCTATCGCTTCCGCTGCCTTTGCTTCCGCCTCGCGCGCCTCGCCTGCTGCATTCCACTTGACAGCCCAATGGAGCTGCGCTACGAGGCCCGTAAGAGGCATCGCGGCATCCTCACCCCACCGGGCGGCAGCGGCCGCCACGCACGCAGCCACGTCTTTCGAGAGGGTCCCGCTCGGCTGCACGTGCAGGGCGTGGCAAGCTAGGTCAGCGAGGGCGCGAGGCTCGGCCACGTCGCGAGCCATATATGCGTGCGACTCGGGTCGGCGGACGTCGGTTACGGCCAAGAACTTTTCGGAGTTTCTATCGGGCAATTCTATCGGGCAAGAAGGCGCCAAACCCCAAACGGCAACGGGCAAGCCGCACGAAGAACTCGGCGATGCCGCAATGGTCAACCCGCGTGCGAAGCACGCGACAAGACACAAATACCTGCTCAAACGACTCGTCAAGACCCTTCGCTCGGCGTGGGGCATGCTCATCGAGATGGAGCCGACTGCACACCTCAGTTACAGTAACCCAAAACAACCTAACGTGGCGGCGGCGAACATCGGCAAAGGGCATGTGCGCCTCGTTGGCGACTTGAAACTTACGAGCTCGCTTGCGTGCAAGGGTGGCGATCGGCTCGGCTGGAAGGGGGCTTTTGTCGCCTTCGGCAACACCGAGCGGGCGCTGCTCGACTTAGTGTTAGGGCATGCTGCATGGCCGCGGCCGGAGGGGGGGGGGGGGAGGGGGGGTTCCTCCTCCTCCTCGTCCTCTTCCTCGCGCATGCATCGCAAAGTGAACTGGAAAAGCTGGACGGTGCAAGCAGACGCTCACCGACAATGCTGGCACAAAGGCCCACCTCAATTCCCAAACGAGGGGCCAGTTCACAAAGGTCTCAACTGATGCACAGTACAGAGGCTGAGGAGCGAGTGAATCTCCGCGTCTGGCGTTAGATTTTGTTGCTGAAGCCATACGGGCATGCTCTCGACTACAGCGCCGGCGGTGAGATTCGGAGCAAACCATCCACAGGCCTGCTGCTTGGAGGATTCAACAAAGTCTTTTCGCATCAACGTCAAAACCAAAGTCAGCCAGGATGAAAGCCAGCGAGGGGCGCCCCATACACAGGACCCAGATATAGATCGCTAGGACCCACGCAACGCCAGTCCAAATGCGGCGAAACTGAAGGATTTCTGCAAAAAAAGAAAAAAACCATCTGCGGCGGGCCATGGGACCCCATCTCCCCCCGCATGGACACCCTCTTGGGCCCCCGCCTCCCCCCAGAGCCCAGTCCCACTGGCCCAGTGCCAGTCCGCCGTGCCCAGTCCGTGGCCCAGTGGACGGGAGGTCAGAAGACACCGCTCGTGTCACTGATGACGGACGTCAGACTCTCTTCAATACAAAAAAAGCTCGTTGCACTATCAAACTATTAGCCTAATAACGTACCTAATTGTTAGCACATACCTAATAATTAGCATTGTTTCACCTATTAGCTTAATAATTAGCTTATTTACACAATCAGTTTCGTGGAAAAATGCTAATTATTAGCTTAATAGCAGCGTGCTAATAATTAGGTACGTTATTAGGCTAATAGTTTGATAGTGCTAGTAATTAGGTACGTTATTAGGCTAAGCGAGGTACCGCCGCCATCGATGACGCCGCGGCGACGTGACCGTCGCCCGCAAATTCGACGCGAGTCGCCGCTACACTCAGCCCGCTCTCGCTAAAACCGGTACGACTTTTTTGAGAAACGAAATCCGAGCCCCGACCGAAATTCTGAGAATCTATGTATGTACAATGTGAGAGGACTCGAGATGTGTTCGAGATTGGGGCAGGGCGCTCGACTTTTCGGCGGTCGTGGATCACGCTCGTTGCTGCGATTTTCAGTCAGGCTTTGACTGGACAGCATCGATGCCGTCGCCGGACGCGGCGGCGAGGCACACGGGCGCCGGCGTGGCGCGTCGGCAGGCCCACCACGAGCGGATGCGCGACGAGCGCGCTCGGGAAGCGGCCGCGGGCGACGCGGAGCTTCCGCCGGAGGACGACGCGGTCGAGATGGGTAGAAGCACGACTTCCTTGCCCGCCTTCCACTCGCCCTCGTAGACGGCGCCGCTGGCAAACCGCATGACGCCGCGCCCCTCCCTCTCACCCGCCTTCCACTCGCCGTCGTAGACATCGCCGTCGACGTACCGCATGACGCCGCGCCCCTCCTGCTTACCCGCCTTGAACTCGCCCTCGTAGACGTCGCCGTTGGCGAGCCGGTAGACGCCGCGCCCCTCCCTCGTACCCGCCTTGAACTCGCCCTCGTAGACGTCGTCGTCGGCATACCGGTAGACGCCGCGCCCCTCCGGCAGACCCGCCTTCCACTCGCCGTCGTACACCTCGCCGTCGGCGAACCGCATGACGCCGCGCCCCTCCCGCTTACCCGCCTTCCACTCGCCGTCGTAGACGTTGCCGTTGGCGAATCGCATGACGCCGCGCCCCTCGCGCTCTCCCGCCGCGTTGTACTCGCCCTCGTACTCCCCCTTCGGCACCTCGCCCGAGCGAGCCATCGCGATGTTCACCTTGACAGCGTACTCACGGTACAGCTCGACGACCACCGGCTTGTCGCCTTTGCCCGTGAAGGTGGCCTCCTTGATCGCGGCGATCACGCGCTTGTTACGCGGCCCCATCCCCTCGTCGGCGCGGTCCTCCGCCTCTGCCACACGGGGCCCCTCGCCGTCGATCTCGATGACCTTAGGCGGCAGCCGCTCTTCCAGTAGCTTGCCAAGCCCTGGGAAGTAGGCGAGGCGCACGAGCGCCTCGGTGCTCACCGCGCTCTCAAACGTCGTCCACCTGCCAGCGGAGAGGGGTGTGGCGCATAAGCAGTCGCTGTGGCATGTGGTGGCGGCGGCGGCCAGCCACAGCGCACCCGCGAGCGAGGTAAGGGCGGCCGTTGTAGAAGAGGAAGACGGCGGTCGCGCCCGGCAGCGCACCCGCTGCGGTGGCTGCCTCGACCGCCTCCTCCGCCGCCGCGTACGTTGCGAAGCGAACACGCCACCGGCCCTCCTCATAGCGCGGGTTCTCAAACGCCCCGAGAGCACTGCGCAGCTCGGCCTCGGCGCTGGCGCCGTCGAGCCCGCCGCCCTTCTCGACGAGGATGACCACTTCGCCGTCCAGCTCCGCCGGCTGGGATGGCACTGAGCGGTGGCGAATGACGGTCGTGCCGAAGGCAGAGGCGTAGACGTCGCCCATGACCTGCGGAGGCGCGAAAAGAGGAGAGTCCTTAGGAGAAGCAAGGGCATGTGTGCGGGCGAGGGAGTGGGGAGCGAGTAGATGAAAAGCGACGGGCGCAGAGGGCGGCGGAGGGAAGGCGGCGCGGACCTTGAGCGATTGGGAGAAGAGCTCGTCCTCGGCCTCCGTTCGCGGCTTTTGCGGGAGTGAGGAGAAGCTGCGGAGGGGAGGTTGTTCGGGCGAGGCGGGCGTGGGCGGTGAGAGCGAGGAGGGGAGAGCGAGTGTGTGTGTGGAGAGAGAGGCGAAGGAGCGGAGAAGATAGGCGGTGAGAGCGAGGAGGGGAGAGCGAGTGTGTGTGTGGAGGCGAAGGAGCGGAGAAGATACATGCGGCCTAGGGCCTGCCCTCCACACGCGCAGCCACTGGGTCCGGGGTGGGTCTGGGGCGGTGGCGCACTCCCAGAAGAGGGCCGTCACGTGCTCGCCGAGCGGGTGGCGCAGGAAGCGCCGCACGTTGGCCAGATACTCTCCGGTCACGTCGGGGTGGTCCGGCGAGGCCCAGCCGTAAGTCAGCCCGGCGACTTCTCGGCGTAGCGAGCGCAGCGCCGCAACAGCCTCCTCCGGCGTGAGGAAGACACAAATGCCTCGCTCCAGCTCCATCCGCTCCAGCTCTTGCCGGTGGAGGAGCTTGGGCAGCATCGCCTCGGAGCCGTCGGCGCGCAGGAACTCGGCGCGAAGCAGCTTGATGGCGCCCGAGCGGAGGACGGCGACGAGCGCCTCGTCAAGGGCCGCCAGCAGCGGGATGCCCTTGTGGTCGGCGGCGGTGAGCGCGGCTGCCTTGCCCATTGAGTACAACATATTGGTTATCCCAGCTGAAGTTAGTGGCACGCCCTATAAGCGAGCACAGAATCCTTTCTGCAAGCTTGCTTTCCCTCTTTCCGTCCGAGACCTTGGCCCGAATGACAAACGCGGGCTTCTTCTTTTAAGAGCGCCACAAAAAGGAGATCGCGGGGTGGCACACATGGCACACGGGGGGGGCGGGGGCCCCAGCAACTAAGCGCACACACCGTCCGGCCGGCCGCTTTCTCCGATGTCCGAACCCCCCTTGCGCGTGCGACAGACCCGCTCGAACGGCGGCTGGCGAGGCCCTCGCATGGCGGCACACACGCGAGACACACATAAGTCAAGGCACGAGGCGAGAGGAAGCGACAACCCAAGTGGCTGCAGCGCCCAACCCCTTCGCGGAGGATGGGCCCGTCGCAGCAAAGGAACGCCGCCAGAGCGAGAAGGAGCAGGCGCACATCGCTTCCAGGGGGGGGGGGCGCCCTTCTCTCCGGAGACTCGGGGTCAGAGGCCCCTCCGAACCCTGTTTTTTGATATTGTTAGTGTGTTTTCTTAGTTTTATGTTTATCCTTGTTATTTTGTTTTTTATGGACTTTTGATTTTTTTTTCCCTTTGGCAGTATCCCTAGGGTCACTTTGTTCTGGTTC